TTTGGGGGGATTTTTTGGGAATTTTTTGGATTTTTAGGGTAAAATTTTGGGAATTTTTAGGGGATTTTTTGGGAATTTTTTGGGAATTTTTTAGGGAATTTTGGGGTTTTTTGGGGGAATTTTTGGGGAATTTGGGGGAATTTTTTGGGGAATTTTTTTGGGATTTTTGGGGGGATTTTTTGGGATTTTTTTGGAATTTTGGGGGGATTTTTTGGGGAATTTTTGGGAAATTTTCTGGGAATTGTTTGGGAATTTTTTGGGAATTTTTTTGGGAATTGTTTGGGGATTTTGGGGAATTTTTGGGAATTTTTTGGGGAATTTTTTGGGATTTTCTTGGGAATTTTTGGGGGATTTTGGGGGATTTTTTGGGGAATTTTTGGGGATTTTTTGGGGAATTTTTGGGGGAATTTTGGTGGAATTTTTTGGGAATTTTTGGGGAATTTTTGGGATTTGAAAATCTGAAATTTGGGGAATTTTTTGAGATTTTTTGGGGGGAATTTTTTGGCAATTCCTGAAATTTTTGGGGGGCTGTGCAATTTTACCTTTTATTCCCAAATTCTTCCCCACAAAATTGAATTTTTTTTTTCCTTTTTTTTACCAAAAAAAAAATCCCAAAATCCCCCAAAAAATCCCCCAAAAAATCCCCAAAAAATCCCCAAAAATCCCCAAAAAAATTTAAATTTTTTTTTTGTTTTTCTCATTAAAAAATCCCCCAAAAATCCAAATTTTTCCCGATTTTCATCGGGTTTTTTTTCCATTCACCCAAATTTCCACCTCCCCCCGATTTTATCCGTTCCCAAAATTCCCAAAAAACCAAAAATTTGGGAATTTTTTTGGGATTTTAATTCCGATTTTTGCCCCCTAGCAGGCACAGCTGTCTGGTCTAGGAATGGAGCTCAGGCGTCTTCATCTCCCAATTACGAGGGGCCCTTGCACTCCTTGGTAGGTCCTAATTAATTCTCTCATTAATTAATGCCATTAATTAATTTTTTATTTCTTTATTTTCCCTTTTTTTCCCCGTTTTTTTCCCGGTTTTTTCCCATTTTTTTCCCATTTTTCCCTCTAAAAAATCCCAAATTTTGAGATAAGAGATCCTCAAATTCCCCTTAATTAGCGCCCTCATTAATTAATCAGTTCATTAATCAATTAATTTTTAATTATTAATTTATTCAATAATTTTTCCACATTTTTTTCCCATTTTTTTCCCATTTTTTCCCATTTTTCCCTCAAAAAAATCCCAAATATCGAGATAAGAAATCCTCAAATTCCTCTTAATTACCGCCCTCATTAATTAATTAGTTCATTAATTAATTAATTTTTAATTATTGTTTTATTCCATCAATATTTTCCCTTTTTTTTCCCCAATTTTTTCCCATTTTCCCCCCTAAAAATTTGGGATTTTTTTTTTTTTTTTTTTTTTTTTTTCCCTTTTTTTTTTTTTTCCCAATTTAAATTTAAAAAAATAAATTAATTAATTAATTAAAAAACTCCAAAAAAATTTAAAAAAAATTCCCCAAAATTTCCCCAAATCAAAACAAAACCAAAAAAAATCCCAAAAAATTTCCCCCCCTAAATTTTTTTTGTCCTGAAATTAAAAATAAAATAAAATAAAATAAAATAAAATAAAATAAAATAAAATAAAATAAAATAAAATAAAATAAAATAAAATAATGGGATTTTTCCCTTTTTTTTGGGATTTTTTAGAATCTCAAATTTTGGGGATTTTTCCTTTTTTGGGGGGAATTTTTTTTTCATTTTCAAATTTTTGGGATTTTTTTATTTTTTGGGATTTTTCCTTTTTTTTGGGGGAATTTTTTTTTAATTTCCATTTTTTTTTTTTTTTTAAATTTTTTGGGGGATTTTTCTGAATTCTCAAATCTAAGAATTCAAACCCCAAACCACAAAGATTTAAACAAATCCTAAATCCCAAAGATTTAAACAAATCCTAAAACTTAAATCCCAAAGATTTAAAAAAATCCTAAAAACCAAATTCAAGGATTTAAACCAATCCTAAAACCCCAAACCCAACGATCCCAAAAATCCAATCCCAAAACCCAAATCCAAGGATTCTCCCAATCCCAAAACCCCAAATCCAACAACCCCAGAACCCAAATCCAAGGATTTCAACCAATCCCAAAACTCAACCCCAAAACCCAACCCCATTGATTCAACCCAACCCCAAAACCAAACCCAAAAACTTCCCCAAACCCAAAACCCAACCCCAAATCCCAATCCCAAAACCCAATCCCAAAACCCAACCCCATGGATTCCCCCAATCCCAAAACCCAATCCCAAAACCCAACCCCATGGATTCCCCCAACCCCAAAATCCAACCCCAAACCCCAATCCCAAAACCCAACCCCAAAACTCAACCCCAAAACCCAACCCAACCCAAACCCAATGACTCCCCCAACCCCAAAACCCAACCCCAAAACCCAAACCCATTGATTCAACCCAATCCCATGGATTCCCCCAATCCCAAAATCCAACTGAACCCCAAAACCCAAATCCAAGGATTCCCCCCACCCCAAAACCCAACCCCAAAATCCAAACCAACCCCAAAACCCAACCCCAACCCCAAAATCCAATCCCAAAACCCAACCCCAAAACCCAAACCCATTGATTCAACCCAATCCCAAAACCCAACCCCAAAACCCAACCCAAAAACTTCCCCAATCCCAAAACCCAACCCAAGGATTCCCCCAATCCCAAAACCCAACCCCAAAACCCAAACCCATTGATTCAACCCAATCCCAAAACCCAATCCCAAAACCCAATCCCAAAACCCAATCCCAAAACCCAACCCCATGGATTCCCCCAACCCCAAAACCCAACCCCAAAATCCAACCCCAATGATCCAACCCAACCCCAAAACCCAAATCCAAGGATTTCAACCACTCCCAAAACCCAACCCCAAAACCCAAACCCATTGATTCAACCCAACCCCAAAACCCAAACCCAAAACCCAAGATCCAACCAATCCCAAAACCCAATCCCAAAACTCAATCCCAAAACCCAAACCCAAAACCCAACCCCATGGATTCAACCCAACCCCAAAACCCAACCCAAGGATTCCCCCAATCCCAAAACCCAACCCCAAAATCCAACCAATCCCAAAACCCAACCCCAACCCCATAACCCAAACCCAACCC